TCCCCCCTCTCGCTCCTGTCGTGAGGGGCAGCTGTGTGTTAGCTGTCCCACTGGCGGCAGAAGCGCCGCCGTTTGGAGGGGCCGGACAAAGGCTGTGCTCGTCAAAGCCCACAAGCCGTTAAAAGGAAAATTTGGAAGAGAGTCGCTGCTGCTCCAAGGGCAGCTGTAGGCAACCCTTCTGACAGGCTTGTCTCCCACAGCCTTCTCCTGTTAGATCTGTTCGGTTGAGCCTTGTGCAGGAAGCTCCAAGTCACCCGTGACAACACGATTTGCGCCTTTGCGGGGCTGGCAGGGGCGTGCAGGCTTGGCCCTTGGACCCGCTGTCGCTGCCGCAGGAAGCTGGCACCCCTCAGGGCTCGGACGTGCGACTTGTCGTTACGTTATCAGGTATAAATGTGCCGTTTAACGGTATAAATCTATCAGTATCATTTGCTGAGATCACTTCTGTAATAACAGGCAGGCTTGCTCTTTGAGGTTGGAACATCTCCAAAATTGAACATCATCCAAATAATCCTCTCGGTGGCTTTTATCCAAACATCCCGGCGCTGTGCAGCGAGGAGGTGGCTCCTGTACGCCCTTCCTTGTTTTACTCCTCTAATGGGTGTTTTCAGGGACATGGAAGGTGTTGGGTTTGGCTTCAAGCTCCAGGTTCATGAAACAATTGGTAATTGTAGTGTTTGCAACTACAAGAACGGCTTATAAATGGACCCTGCAATTTTCAGAGCGTTCTTGTAAACTTGACTTGGAACATGCAAGCCAAGAATAATTCTTGGGAGAGAACTCAGAAAAGCCGAGCTCCTCTTTATTAAGCGTTTCTGTATGTAGTACATGTAATGAATAATCAACTGTAAAGCAAAAGTGTTCCAAGAATTGCAGTGATTGATTACCCATACTGTTTTGAACTTCCCGTGTATAAATGAATGGGTAAATGAATAAAATATACAGATCGCAGTTGCAAAATACAAAAAAAAGTGACATCTGAGTGATGAAAGCAGGCTAACAGCAGAGTAATGCTCTTCATTAAGGAACTGCCTGCATATTCATTAGAGCTAGTCAATTACTTAAAAAATATATTCATCAGATAATTTGTTTGATGAATTTTACCATTATTTGTCAAATAATTTATTCAACAAAAAAGGTAAAATTAATGGAATGGTGCATTCATCAGATCTTATTGGACAGCTGTAGCACTTACTCAGTTCTGAGCATTTAGGTTGATTCGGGATTAGCGATGCTGCTGCAATCAAGGCAGAAAAGTTTCCTGGCGAATCCATTACTCTGCTGTTTCCTCATATGCTCACAAATGTCATGTGCTTAATCTAGGCCATTGAAACTGAACGTCTTTCTTGTAGAAGAGTAAATATTCAAAGAGTTTGAAGTTTTACGTTTTCCCAAACTTCCAAT